CAGTTCAGTATTCTTGAACATTTTCTTTTAGGCTACCAGGGAAATGTCAATTCTCAGATATGGCCACAAGATGGGGCAGTGAGTTTAAATTGCCATTCTCAGGCCTATTGGAAGGAAAAATTTGTTCATGAAAGCAGTTACACTTTGGAGGTTCCAAGGGGATGACCCCTGATGAATCCAGGGAGCAGAAAAAAATTTGCTTTAATCAAAATCGTGTCATCAACTATGATGTAGAAATATGTAGGAAAAAGGAGACAGAAATTCAACTCTGTGAAAAAATGCTACCAAAAAATACCTGTTGGAAAAAGGATTATAAAATGATCGATCATCTCATTAGCTCCTGATTTTATAGGTGGATAAATTTAAGCCTGGAAATACTTGGAGATTTACTCAAAATCACCTGGCAAGATAATAAAAGATCCAGGAGAAAAGAACATATTTTGTACTTGGCTTCTAATTTAATGTTTTTTTATAGTACATGCAATTGCCTCTTATACTTTGCTGATTTAAACTTACTGAAAGTTCAACCTCCATGCTTTTGTAGTTTTGTCCTTAAAGTCCCCCTTATTTGATGCTCCATTCTTTCATGTGAGTGATTGCCTTGATTGTATTCATGGAGATGGTGGTCACCAAAGGAGGTGGTAAAATAGAAAGTGATGAACGTGGGTTTCATATAGGATCCCACTAAAGCTACTATTATTAGGTTTTATTAGAAAGGTAGACTGGTTGCTTAAAGAAGCTGAATACAATGGTAGAGAGAAAGAGAGCTGAGGAAATTGAGTGGAAATAATGTTTAAATATTTAGAGTAAATTTGCAATTTGTTTACTTTTAGAATTGAAGCAAATAGCTATTTTCTGAGTTTTTTCCTGAAAATTTCTCTCATTCTTTGTGTTCATAATTTTTTCTCCTTGTTTTTGGAGGCAAGTAAGGCTGGTAGATAGGGAAAGGCTAATATTTTTATAGGTAAGAGAGAGGAGGTATCAATGCATGAAAGAGAATGAATGAAAATGAAAATAAATTGCCCTCTGGCTTTTAGGCTATTGGAACGAACCACAGATTAAGGCTTTTTGCCACTAGGAATAGAGATTTGTATTTTAGAGAATCCTTAACTGTTGGTCAAATAGAGAGTTGAGATATCTTATTTCTTTTCATAGCAGCTCTGTGAAGACAGAGAAGGGAAGATACCATTTTTGTCTTAAATGGGCAAATAAAGTGACAAAGAGGATTAATACAATTTATTCAGACTTATCAGTAATGAATTTGGGAGTAAATTCTTGTTTATTTCAGTGTTAATTCTACTAGTTGCTGTGCTTTAAAGAAATAAATAATTAAAATGACATTTTAATGATGGTTTTATTCACTTTTGTTATTCAATGCAGAAAACACAGACATCTTTGTTGGAAACACCTGAAACTAGTTATCGGAAATTTGATTCTAAAGCAGCTTCTTCACAAAATATATCTCGAAATTTCACATCAGTTGATCATGGCAAATCCAAAGATAGAAGAGACTACCTGTGGACATCTGCCAAACGTACTTTATCTACACCAAAGGTTGGTGTCTAAAATTTCCAAGATAGTAATTTTTTAATAAAAAAAAGAAGGTTCTGGTATCAGTATATATCTGGTATCTCACACATACACTCACGCGCACACACATACCCCCAAAACTAGTTTCTTGAAAGTTTCAACTTTTTTGTGGTATCAGCATGATATGGTTTTACTTTTTTCTATCACTGTCCACAAATTAATGGCATCTTGGGCAAATTCTATAACTTGTTGGTCATTTACCAATGCATAAGTCCCTGGTGTGGGAAATGTCGTTCTGACTTGACATTTTACACTATCACCCCAGTTACCTCCCTTTGCTGTTTACCCCCACATCATCTTGCTGCTAGAGTCCTTTACTTAACAGTCATCTTGGAGCAGTTGCCACTAGCAAGGTGGCTCAATTCTGTCTTACATGTATCCACTTAATCCATGGGGAATTCATACAACTTTGCCATGCTAAATGGCAGTGCAGAATGGTCTACTTTGACCTCTTTCTCCTCTCTATTTCTCTCTCTTTAATTTCCTTTTCATCTGGTCAGCTAAATACAAAGACAGATAAACAAATTGGCTGCCAGGTTCAATATCTAACTAGGGAATGTGATGTCAGTCTTCCCTTCTTGTAGGCACCCCTAGTTGTCCTTGTAAGTATACTCTTGGAGTTCCTGCCTCACTTGTTCTGGGAGTTGAAGGAAAAAGTATCTCAACCTGTCTCTGTCCCTCTGAACTAATATTTTATGTCTTTTCCCTCACAGTTTTCTTAAAATAACTGGAAAGGAGAGAAGTGTTTGTTGATTATAGGGGTTGTTCTATCACTTTTTAATAAGTCCCGGAGAAGGATCTGGCCTCAATCATAGGTCACTTTCTTTAAAATATGGATTATTAGCACTTTTCCCCCCAGTTTTGTGTGCCAGTTGAAAATTCCAGAGCAAAAGGAGGAGTCCCACTCATATCCTGATATGTATATATACAATATTCTATATCTTGTGAAAATTATGAAAATAAGTGTATTATATAGCTTAGAGAGGCTTTTATATAAAATTATTCAGTTTTATTTACTATAGTTTTATTTATTTCATATTTAAAATATGAAATTATTTCTATGATTCTCTATTAAAAAATAACCTTAAACAACTTTTAATTGAAATGTTTCTAAGAAAAATGCACGGATCTTAAATATTCAACTTGAATTTTCACAAACAAAACATAACCTTATAACCAGCACCCACATTAAAATACAGAATATTGCTGTCTATCACCTCTTGTTCCACCTTCCAATCACTAGTCCTTCTACCAAGGCCAATTACTATCTCAGCTTCTAATATTAGATATTCCTGTTTTTGCATTTTCTACAAATGGAATCATACAGTATGTATTTTTGCCTGGCCTTCTTTCATTTAATTTGATGTTTGTGGGACTTGTCCATATTGTTACTTGAAGTTGTGGACTATTTTTATTTTTGTATAGTATTCCATTGTGTGACTATACCACGTTTTATTGATCGATTGTATTATTAATGGACATTTGGGTAGTTTCTAGATTGGACTTTTATGAATAGGGTTGTTACAAAAATTCTGGTTCCTGACATGTACACATTTTGGTTGAGTATGTGCCTAGGAGTGAAGTTGCTGAGTTTATGGGGCTGTACATATATTTCATTTTAGTACACACTGTCGTGTGTGTGTGTGTGTGTGTGTGTGTGTGTTTTAGCGACTGCACCAATTTACATTGTAGCCAGCAGTGAATGAGAGTTCTAGTTGCTCCACATCCTTACCACCATGTGGTATTTTTTATCTGTTTTATTTTAGCCATTCTGGTAGTGCGGTGACCTTAGTTTTTTTTTTAAATAAAGTTTTTACTTTGTAATTGATTTTGGATTTACAGAAAAGTGTAAAGGTGATACAGAGAATTCCTAAATAGCCCTCACCCAGTTTCCCCCATTGTTAATGTTTTACATTACTGTGGTACGTTTGTCAAAACTGAGAAACTTACATGAGTACATTACTATTAACTAAACTTCAGACCTCATTTGTACTTCATAGTTTTTCCATTAATGTTCTCTTTTTGTTCAAGGATCCAGTCCAGGGTACCAAATTGCATTTAATTGTCACGTTTCCCTATTCTTGATCTTAATTTTTAGTGAAAGCATTTTCAGATATAAATTTCCCTCTAAGCACTGATTTCACTGCATCCCATAAATTTTGGCATGTCGTATTTTCATTTTTATTCATCTCAGAGTACTTTGTAATTTCCGCGTGATTTATTCTTTGACCCTTGGTTATAAAGAAGTATGTTATATTGACATATTTTGAATTTTGTAAATATCCATTTGGTTGGTTAATAGCATTGTTAAAGTGTTCTATTTACTTGCTTATCTTCTGTCCAGTTGTTCTACTTATTACTGAAAATAGAGTATTGAAGTCCCTGACTATTATTGTTGAATTGTCTATTTTTCCCAGCTTTTGGTTCATATATTTCAGGCCCCGATGTTAGGTAATATGTGTTTATAACTGCTATATTTTCTTGATGGATTGACCCTTTCACCCTTATAAAACATCCTTCTTTATCTCAATTTTTGTTTTAAAGTCTATTTTGTTTGATATTAGTTTAGCCACTTCAGATCTCTTTTGCTTACTGTTTGCATGGTGTATCTTTTGCCACCCTTTTATTTTCAACCTATTTGTGTCATTGAATTTATTTATTTTTATTATTTATTTATTTATTTAAAACATCAAGGCCTTTATTATCTCACAGTGACAGACAGGCAGGTGCAGGTTTGGGTGATTGAGACTGAACAAATCACTCCCAAGTGTCACATGTAGACTAAAAAAAAACATCTATGAAGAAGAGAAACCTTTCCTGGAAAGCCCCAGAAGATACCAAGTCAGATGTTCTTGCCAGAGCTGTGTTATACCCACATCTAAAGCCATCAATGAGGAAGAAAATTAGGATCCTCCCAAAGGGATCAGTCTCAACATGATTCCCTTCAGAGAATGAGAAAGGGACCATAGTCTGCCTTCCCTAAGCACAGTGGGGGAGACTTGACATACACCATGGGATTTTGCCAGCTAGTAGAGAATAGATGGTGTGGGCCGGGCGCAGTGGCTCACTCCTGTAATCCTAGCACTCTGGGAGGCCGAGATGGGAGGATCACTTGAGCTCAGGAGTTCGAAACCAGCCTGAACAAGAGCAAGACCTGTCTCTACTAAAAATAGAAAAAAATTAGCCAGGCGTGGTAGTGCATGCCTGTATTCCCAGCTACTGGGGAGGCCGAGGCAGGAGAATTGCTTGAACCCAGGAGTTTGAGGTTGCTGTGAGCTAGGCTGATGCCACAGCACTCTAGCCCAGGCAACAGAGCGAGACTCTGTCTCACAGAAAAAGAAAAAAGAATAGATGTTGTGGTATTCAACATCTGACATGGCTCCAGTGACCCATGCCCTTTGGTACGTGTGCCCCTGTGTAATCCTCTCCCCTTGACTGGAGGCTGGACCAACTGACTTGCTTCTAACAAATAGAATATAGCAAAGGTGATGGGATCTAACTTCTGTGATCAGGTTACAAATGACTGATTTGTCTTCTTGGTATTCTCTAAAGCTTTGATGAAGCAAGCTGCCATTTTGGAGAGGCCCATGTGGCAGGGAAGTGTAGATGGTCTCTGACCAACAAAACAGAGAGGCCCTGAGTCCAACAGCCCAAAAGAACTGAATACTGCCAACAGCTATGTGAATGAGCTTGGAAGCAGATCCTTCCTCATAGGTGATTATACTCTCAGCTGACACCTTGATGTCAACCTTCTGAGAAACTCTGAAACAAAGGACACAGCTAGGCTGCACCCAGATTTCTGACCTATAGAGATGGTGAGATAATGAATACTGTTGTTTCAAGCCACTAAGTTTTGGCTAATTTGTTACACTGCAGTAGATAACTAATAAAAATGGATTCTGCAACAGCGAACAGCAGTGATACAATGCTGCCTAGGATTCCAGGAGCTGCAGGGAGAGACTTTCCCACATTTGTTGCCCTCTTTTCTCTTCCTATGTGGTTTAAAACATAAACACATAAAGCAATAATTATAATACTTTGTCAGGCTTACAATATATGAATGTGTGATTTTTATGACAACGATAACACAAAAGAGGGGGTTGGAATGAAGCTATATTAGAGCAAAGTTTTTGTATACTATTGAAATTACATTAATATTAATTCAAACTACGTCATTTTAAGTTAAAGTATTGATTATAATCCTCAAGGCCATCACTAAGAAAATAAGTCCAAAATACAGCAAAAAACAAAAGAATTAAAATATCACAGTAGAGAGTATCTACTTAAAAAAGGATATTAATGGAGAAACAAAGGAACAAAAAGACATAAGACACATAGAAAACAAATAACAAATGGTAGAAGTAAACCCTACCTTATCAGTAAATATATTAAATACAAATAAATTTAACACTCCAATCAAAAGGCAGAAATTGGCAGAACGAGTGCTGAAAAAAAGCCCGATCCAACTACATGCTGTCAATAAAAGATACACTTTAAATTTGGTGACACATGCTGCTATTTATCATTTTGTTTAGATCCAGGAACACCTATGTTAGGTGTATAGATATTTAGGATTGTTATGTCTTCTTGTTGAATTGTTCACCATCATATAATGACCATCCTTGTCTTTACTTTTGTTGATTTGAAGTCTATCTTATCTGATGTGACAATGGCGACACCGGCTTTCTTGCGGTTTCCATTTCCATGGAATATTGTTTTCCATCCCTTTACCTTGAGTCTGAATGAGGCCTTGTGGGTTAGATGTGTTTCCTGGAGACAGTAAATACTTGATTTGTATCTTTTTCCCATTCAGCCAGCCTATGTCTCTTCAGTGCCCCCCCCCCTTTTTTTAATCCACCAGAGAATTCACAACAGAGAGAGTACAAGGGCATGTTTATGTTATCTTTTATAGTTACCTATGCAGTTATCTTTACCAGTGCTCTTTATTTCTTCATGTGGACTCA